AGCCTCTTGATGAAAGTGAAAGAGGAGAGTGAAAAAGTTTGCTTAAAACTCAACATTCAGAAAACTAAGATCATGCCATCTGGTCCCATCACTTCATGCAAATAGATGGGGAAACAATGGAAACAGTGACATACTTTATTTTTGGGGACTCCAAAATCACTGCAAATGGTGACTGCAGCCGTGAAATTAAAAGATGCTTGCTCTTTGGAAGAAAAGTTACAACCAACCTAGTAGCATGCCAAAAAGCAGAGACATTACTTTGCCAGCAAAGGTCTATGTAGTCAAAACTATGGCTTTACCAGTAGTCATGTATGGATGTGAGAGTTGGAGTATAAAGAAAGCTGAGTTGCAAAGAATTGATGCTTCTGAACTGTGGTGTTGGAGAAGACTCTTGGGAGTCCCTTGGACTGCAAGGAGATCCAACCAGTCCATCCTAAAGGAAATCGGTCCTGAATATTCATTGGAAGGACTGATGCTGAAGCTGAAGCTAAAGCTCCTATACTTTGGCCACCTGATGCGAAGAACTGACTCATTGGAAAAGACCCTGATGCTGGGAAGGACTGCAGGCAGGAGGAGAATGGGGTGACAGAGGATGAGATGGTTGGATGGCATCACTGACTCAATGTACATGGGTTTGAGCAAGCTCTGGGAGTTGGTGATAGACAGGGAGGCCTATCGTGGGGCAGTTCAGGGGGTCACAAAGGGTCAGACACGAGTGAGCAACTGAACTGAATTCAGGTAGTGAACAGATGCTAAGGAGAAAAAGATAAAGCAAGATAGCAGGAATGTGAAATGTTGCCTGGAGGTGAACATTTCAATAGGGTAATGACAGAATGTCTCACTGAGAAGGTGGCTTTTGAGAGCAAACCTCAATGGAATAAACTAGCAAAGCAAATATTGGGGAAAAGAACATTCAAGACAAGGGCAACAGTAAATGCAAAGGCCCTGGGGTGGGTGCCTGTCTGAGATGTTTGAGGAGTAGCAAGGAAGATGGATGACTAGGGTAGAAAGAAGGAGGGAAGAGGACTAATGGATAATGTGAAGCAGACCATAAAGGCCTTGTGGATCATACAAAGAACTTTCATTGTAGAAGACCAATATGACATGATTTTAGTAGGCTCACTTTGAATGCTGTGTTGAAATACACTGCAGAGGGGGTAAGGGCAGAATAGGAAGGCCAGTTGGGGGAACTGCAACATTCAGGAGAGAGAGGAGTCAAGGATGGTATCATGGTTACTGATTTTTTCAGTCTGTTTGTTTCAAATTTTTTTCTGTAAAGAGACCTTTAAAAACAAAATGTGTAAAGTTTGTTATTGTGAAAACTACCACCCTAGAGTTTAGACCTCATAGTCTCTTTTAATAATACATTTAAGCCCTGAGTCCCAGAGAATAAATGACCAAACTTTACCAAAATGAAGGTTTAAGTTCCAGCTGTATATCCGTCTTTCATCACTTAGTTACCAGATTTATACAATTGAGGAGGAAAGTAGAAAATAGTTACTGTGCAGAGCCAGCTCATTAGAAAAGACCCTGATGCTGGGAAAGATTGAGGGCAGGAGGAGAAGGGGATGACAGAGGATGAGATGGTTGGATGGCATCACCTACCTACGCAGTGGACATCAGTTTGAGCAAACTCCAGAAGATAGTGAAGGATTTAGCAACTGATCAACAACAAAACGTTAAACACAATTACTTGAGATTTTTCACTTCGTTTGAACTTTAAAAAAAAAAAATTAATTAATTAATTTTAATTTTTTTGGCTGCACCAGGTCTTAGTTTCAGCACACAGGATCTTCGCTCTTCATCGCGGCTTGTGGGTTCTTTAGTTGTGGCCTGTGAACTCTTAGTTGCCGCATGTGGGATCTAGTTCCCAGAACAGGGATTGAATCTGGGCCCCTGGAGTCCTAGCCACTGGGCCACTGGGGTACTCCCTTGTTTGAACTCTTAAACTATGGTTGCCACATGAAAATCAGGATGCTCAGCTAAAATTTAATTTCAGATAAAGGATGAATAAGTACTAAAAAATATATTTTTTAGTGTATTTCAAATGTTGCACGGACAACACACAAAAAGTCATTCTTTGGTTATCTGAAATTCAAATTAAGCAGCGTTCTGTATTTTTCATTGATACATCTGGTGACTTGTTCCCAAACTGATCAGATTTTTAACATTTTCTCTGTTCCACATTATGCCTTACCTTTCTGGTGAGGGTGGTGGAGGAGGAGGTGTAATTAGGTTAGACTGAAAGTGAGAGGCTTCTTTTCTTTTGAACAATCTTTTTGCTTTGGCTTTTAGCTTTCTTCTTCGCTGCTTGAATTTGGGCATGGTTTCTGTAGAGAAAATGTTTACATTTTTTATTGAAGAATACTACACGGAAAAAAATACAATTTTTGACTGTATAGGTCAAAATGAATATCACAAAATGAACACATCCTTGTAACTACCATCTTGGTTAGCAAACAGGTCACCGCCAGCAACCCAGAAGTCCGCCTGAAGCAGGAGATAGAGGGACCCTGAGCTGAGCAGCTGGACTCTGCCCCCTGTAGACAGATATTTTCTTTTCTTTTCGGCTGCACTGGGCGTTTGTTGTGGCACACGGGGGCTTCTCTAGTTGCAGCAAGCAGGCTTAGCGGCCCTGCAGCATGTGAGATCTTAGTTCCCCAACCAGGGACTGAACCTGTGCACCTTGCATTAGAAGACAGATTCTCAACTACTGGATCACCAGGGAAGTCCTGACAGATGTTTCAAAATAAAGATAATGGCAGGAGCAAGGATGAGTTGAGTCCTGTTCAGATAAAAGATAAAGAGACCACATATTTCTCATTCTTGAGGTCAAGGAGGCTCCTAAGCTATGCATGTGCAGAAAAGATCCTCAAGGGAATGGGAGCCAGACCATATTATGTTCTGTAATGTAGTAAAGCGCTAACTCCAAATTTGTAACCTCTCAGAGGCTCTTGCACCGGAATCCATTTTGGCGAAATGATGCACACTCATAGGAGGGAGGGCCCTGGTGGTGTTGTTCAGTCGCTGAGTTGTATTCAACTCTGCGACCCCATGGACTACAGCATGCCGGGAGATCCCTGTCCTTCACTATGTCCTGTAGTTTACTCAAACTCATGTCCATTGAGTCAGTCATCCATCCAACCATCTCATCCTCTGTCTCCCCCTTCTCCTCCTGTCCTCAATCTTTCCCAGCATTAGGGTCTTTTCCAAAGAAGGGAGGGCCCTGAGCCAGACTAAATAGTGACTCAAAGTCAAAGCAAGATGACTGGCCAGAGGACATCAGGAAGAACTGACCCTATATAAGTAATTTAATCCACCTCGAAAGTGTGCGGCTTTCTCTCTCTCTGAGCCTGCCTGTGCTTTCTCTGCATGTATCTTCTCTCCTAATAAGCACGTTACTTGTCTCACTGCTTTTCACCTCTTTGCTGAAATCTTTCTTCAAAGCAGACAAGTGCCAGGGTGAGCACTGCGACCCAGGTTCAGTCCTTGGTCAGGGAACTGAGGTCCCACTTCAAGTCATCACAGGCTGTGGCAACCTTACAGCCACCTGAGACCACCCTGAACTGGGGGAAAAGTTAAACTCAGATTTAAACTATTTCTAAAAGTACCTTGGCTTTGGCATTATGTTACTCTAATTTTGTTCTGGTTTTGTTTTGCTATTCTTTGTTCAGTCAAGTAAATTTCTCTTTCTTCATAATGAAATCAAGCAGGACCTTGCAGGGCCTTCCCAATGCAAAGGGCCTTTTTTGTCTCCTTTGTCTTGTTTGCAGAAAAAAGGCTTCAGTCTCCCAGATGTCCCTCAAGTTCCAAAGAGCAGACTCAAACAGCTACTAATTAGAGAAGTGAGGGAATGCAGAATCAAAGGAAAAGCAGTCAAGCAAAAATAGTAATAAGAGCTCAGACAATAGTTGAGAGATAAAACAGTCACAAAACTAATTCTTCCTCATGGGATATATATAACAACCAATACATATCTTTGTGTTGTCTTGCAGAGACTAAGGACACCCCTGCACCCCGCCAACCCGGGTGAAAGATGGTGACTATATGTTGACCACAATCACTTAGACCCCAGACTGGTTAGAACCATAAATGTTGATGATTAAGATTTCCTAAACATCACCTTGTTACCTTACCACCAAGCAAACAGAAGAAAGTCCACCAGCTGAGCAGGCACCCTATGACCCTCAGTCCTAATGTTGCCTTTACAAATCTTTGCCTGGGTTTCCCTGGAAGTTCAGTAGTTAAAGACTTTGCACTGCAGGGTGTGCGGTTTTGTTCCCTGGTCAGGGAACTCCCACATGCCGTGTGCAATAAGACCAAAAAAAAAAAAAAAAAATCCCCGCCTGAAAGTCAGTGAGGAGTTCAGATCTTTTGAGCATTAGCTGCCCTTTCTCCTTGTTTGGTATCCTGCAATGAACACTGTTAGCTTCCTTCACCACAATGCAGGGTCAGTTGATGAGCTGCGCTCTGAGTTGGGCAAGCGGATCTGAATTTGGGTTTGGTAACAATAACAGAGGAGAGGAGACGGCAATAGTTGGGTAGTGTCAGTTTTTAAAAGGAAGTAAATTTCTTTGCTGGTAACATTTACTGAGCATCCATTGAACTTGGCGGAGTTGGTAGTGAAAGAAAAACAAAACTAACCTTTTTATTGGATGCCCATGTACTTTTAGGCACCTTCACATACACTTTTTCAGTGACTCTTCATTGTTGTGCAAGGTATTTTCCCTGAGTAAGAGAATTTTCATTACCATTTAGATCAGAATAAATCGAGGCTTAGAAAGATGAAATGATTTATCCAAAGGAATGCACTAAAGCATTAAGTTCAAATCTGTAAGTCTCCAAAGACCATGTTCGTCCTAATACACTGTCATGCAGTAGTAGAATAGGTGATATACAAGATAATAACAACTACCCCCAATCTAAGATATGGGTGTTTCAAAACATTTATTTTAAAACACTTTTAAATACTCACTATATTGATATCGGTGAGTGTTATCCCCAGTGGCTCAGTGGTAAAGAATCTGCCTGCCGTGCAGGAGATGCAGATTCGATCCCTGAGTCAGAAGATCCCCTGGTGGAGGGCATGGCAACCCACTCCAGTATTCTTGCCTGGAGAATCCCATAGACAGAGGAGCCTGGTGGGCTGCAGTCCACAGGGTCATAGAGTTAGATACTGTTTAGGTGACTTCTCAGCACAGCATGTTGATATCAAGGGGTGAAAGAGGGGTGGGAGATGAATTGAGAGATTGGGATTGACATATATACATTACTGTGCATAAAACCGATAACTAGTGAGAACTTGAGTTACTCTAAAGGAACTTTACTCAAGGCTCTGTGGTCACCTAAACGGGAAGGAAATCCAAAAAGAGGGGATCTATGTACATGTATAGCTGATTCACTTTGCTGTAGCAGACAGTGAGGCAACATTGTAAAACAACTGTGCTGCAAAGTAATTAAATAAAAAAAAAATAAACACTAACTAGTATATTCAGATTTTAATTCAAATCCTTTTCTGAAGAAAATTAAGTCAGAGCTGGCTTGATGTGAAGAAGGGCTTCGCTGGTTTTAGTTGTTGCTACCTGAGGAACAAAGATATCCTTATTCAAGCAGCAGAACTAAAAATGGTCTCAAGGGCTGGGCCTCCTTCTCTTCAAACTTACATTTGAATAGGAACAATTGGTCTTGAAAATACACATTCATTTCACATTTGTTCACCCCGTAACCCTCCAGTACTTGGAATGCAGCGCTAGGCTTGCTAAACTCTCAGATTCCAAGGACTGAAGAACCTCCCCCAGCCCCACTGTGGGTATTCAAGACTAAGAAACGCTTTAGTTCCAAGAACGTTGGACTTACGGAGGCCACCCTTCATGGCAATGAGTGACAGAGTGTGCATCAACAACCATTATAGGAGTAAAGATTCTTGATAGCATCTTATTTAACTAACTGCCAGGCCTCAGATTAACAATATTTTTCTTAATTGTTCTTAAAGGCGTGGGAGACATACCTCAAGATAGCTGATTTCACATTTATTATATCACTTTTCCTTTCCACTGAAGTAATGGAGGAAGGCTAAACAGGGATTGTTAAACACAAGGGATGTCTAAAAGATTGATTTAAAAAAAAAAACGTAAAGCAAAAATACTCTGGATGAAGATATTTAGGAAAGCCTCAGGAAGCAACAAAAAACTTATGGTTGCTAGAAAAGAAGTTAAACCTCATCAAATCCATGGCCAAGACTATTTTATGAAGAAACGTCCATCCGAGGCAGAGTTCACTGACTGGGAATCCCCTGAATCTGAGATTTCCATAGTAACCGCCCCGCGCTGTTTTTCAGCCCTCCTTCAAGCCCTCCCTCCTCTGCTCCGGTTCCCTCTCTCGCCTTGAAGTCTTTTGTTAGGGATCAAACTGACAAAGAGAACTGGCCTCCTGCTTCCCCTTTTCCTATATTCACCAATCCCTCAGTTATGAAAAGACTTTAAAAGGAGCTGGACATTCTGGTTAGACTCGGTGGATTGACTCTCCCTCCACCTGCGCTCCAATGATGTGCTGGGATTGGTACTCACTGTTACATTTTTAGGAAGCCTGTGGGCCAGTTGTTAAATCTACCATATAAATTATATAAACTTATAATTATGTAATTTAGATTTTAAAAGGTATTTATAAGTATATAAAACTCAGCATTTCATAAAGGTTTTACTAATATTTATGCTCTTGAAGTTTTTCTTAACTTATTTTATCTATATAGTGAAAATGCTTTAGATATATTACTGCTCATTTTCTCCCAATGCCACATTCAAGGACTTCACATTGGAAACTTAGAAACTGGCCACGATAGGAGAATTTATACCATGGCTATTATAAAACACTACAAATTTGGGAATCCCCTGGCATCCCAGTGGTTAAGATTCCACATTTCCACTGTAGGGAGCATGGCTTTAATACCTGGTAGGTGAACTAAGATCCCTCAAGCTTCAGGGTCAAAAACAAACAAACAAACACAAACCCCTACAAATTATGGCTTGATTTATTATTTTGTTTACTGTTAAGAAAGTGATGAGGACTTCCCTGGCAGTCCAGTGGTTAAGACTCTGTGCTTCCAATGCAGGGGGTATGGGTTTGATGCCTGGTCAGGGAACTAAGATCCCACATGCTGTGTAACATGGCCAATAAATAAATAAATAAATGAGTAAAAAAGGTGATAAAAAATGTAATAGGGCAGATTAAACTTAAGAGTATATCTTGTCTGTAGTCATTACATTTTGAACAGCAGAAAAATTGAGGAGTATTACTCCAGTATTTGAAAATGATTATTTATCAGAAATTGCTTACTGAAATGAAGTTCCAACATAACTCTTTGTGTTTCACATTTGTCTTACCTCACAGAGTAAATGAAAATATTAACGAAGATTCATATCAGGACTAAGCTTGTTCATAGACTGCAACCATAGGTTGGTTACAAATGAAGTCCATAAAAAAATTAATTAAAAAAATCATTAATAGCATTTTGTGAGAATCAATTGGCTATACAAAATTTATAAGAAAAGGTATTATATATTTTATCATTATGATAAAATAATTGTTTATCATTGTTTACATCAGTATATATCAACAAATTTATAATAAAATTGTGCATATATATTTATAAATAATTATTAGCACATTACTGTTCCACTCCCTTCTGAAACATCATGAATAAGACAGTAAAGGAATAAAAAAGGCATAAACTCATAGGACAAAGAATAGGAACAGATACTCTAATAGAGGATACATGTGAATTAAATCGTGGAAAGTGGAACAGTGGTAACTGACTTGGTGGAACAGAGGGAAAGCTGAGATTTGACTGGATGGTAGAGAAGTCAACAGGAAACGAGACAAATTCCAGAACTCGGAGAAGTTTCAGACTTGAAAGCACCAAGTCCCTCTGAAGGTTTGGGGTAGGTTTCATTAATTGATTAATGAAAAGTCTTCATAACGACTAAATAGGCCTTTGAGGTCTTCCCTCCAGTCCATGCAGCCAGGCAGTGTCCTGGTTTTCATTTCACGGACAGGTCTATTCTCTGGAGAAGTTAGAGTTGCTGAATTTGGGTCACCAGGCATAGCAGAGTAATGTCTTTGTCACTATTCAGAAGATATGGGATGGTCCTGAACTGAAAAGTGAGACACTCAATTCCCTTCCTCAGCTCAGCTCCCCAAATAGAAGCCACCCAAGTTTAATTCCTGGCCTCAAAACCCCACACTTCTCCTTCTTCCTGGAGGAGACTAGATTCTTCTCCAGGGAAACTGGCTTTAGCTTGACAATATCCACCTCCGCTACTTTGAGCTGCCAACCAACTATCTTTTTGGTGTCTTCCTTTGACATATAACAGCCAGGGATCATCAATCATTTCAGGAAGAGTCTTAAATATGAAGAACAGAGACCAAAATAAACAGAGAGGGAAATGGAAAGAATGTAGAAAGTAGAAGAAAACTTAAAAAACCCCAAACTTCAGAAAATGATATGGACAAGGATGGAGGAAAGGAGGGAGAGGGTGAGATGAATGGAGAGAGTAGCATGGAAGCATATATACTAACATATGTAAAATACACAGCCGAAGGAAATCTGTTGTATGATTCAAGGGACTCAAACCAGGGCTCCGTAACAACCTAGGGGGAAGGGACACATGTACACCGATGGCTAATTCATGTTGATATATGACAGATATCTAACCAGTATTGTAAAGCAATCATCAATCAATTAAAAATAAATTTTAAAAAGGATCAAGGCCAAAAAAAAGAAATCGAGATCCTGCATTCTTGAAAAAGGATAAGAAAAAGCTTTTAAAATTAAAAATAGTAGAAATTAAAAAAATGTAACAGAACAGTTTGAAGATTAAAGTTTTAGATGAGAACAGAAAAAAATGGAGACGATTTTATCCAATAAACAATACAAAAATATTCCCCAGAACTGAAGGACTTGAATTTCCAGATTGAAATTATACTGAAATTATTCAGCATAATTTGAATAAAGATGCACATTGAGGTATGCCATCATTTAGAACACCAAAAGTAAAGAGGATATTCTAAAAGCTTCTAGAGAAAACACAGCCTGGATACAGAGGACTGAGAATAGAATGACATCAGAGTTGAACAGCCACCCTGCAATTCTGATGGAGAATGTTTACAATCTCATACCTGGCCAAAGTTTCAGTCAAGTGTGAGAACAGAAGTGAGATAATAATGGGAATTTCCAGGATAATGGTGACCATAAGTCCTTGGAAGACAGTCTTGCAGTGAGCCCAGGACAGGGGTCAGTGAACCTTTCCTATGAAGGGCTAGATAATAAATGTTTTAGGCTTTACAAGCCATCTGGTCTCTGCTACAACCACTCAACTCTGCATCAAAACAGCCATAGACAATGACTGTGGTTTTAATCCAATAAATGTTATTTATGACTACTGAAATTTGAATTTCATAGAGTTTTCATAAGTCACAAAGTATTATTCTTCTTTTGATTTTTTTCCCACCTACTACAAATTGCAAAAACCATTCTTAGCTCATGAGACCTATAAAAATAGTAATTGACTGACCCTTTACTTAGCCAGTGAAATAAGAAAGTGTAACAGAGGGCTTCAGCAGAAAAACAAAGGAAATAGATAAATTACCTAGTGCAAATTTGAATATTCTGAGTGGAGTTTATTATTTTTCTGTAAAGTTCAGTCCAGGTTACTGAGAAGTGCTTAAAAAAA